CCTTCCCTCTTCATCTTATGCCGAAAGTATTCTTCTCGTAGGAGAAGATCAATAGGAGTAGTTCCGGCTAAGACTTGTACCGCCTCATGAGACACTGAACGGTACGCTCTAGTGACCCGCAGCAGAGCCATCCGCTGGATTGTTGCCAACCTTTTCTTCTGTTGGTGCGAGAGATGATGACTCCACGCAGGGGACGCATATCTCAGGATGCCCAGAATAACTCCTTTATAAATAGTTAACGTGGCTGGGTACCTGAGACCCCAAAAGGCGCCCCCGATGCGACTAAGTCCATTGAGAGCCAGAGCTACCCTACCTTTCATGTAGTCCAAGTGAGGCGTAAAGTTGAAATTTCTCCCAATTCGTATGCCAAGGTATGTAACAGCCTCACTTGGACGTATCCTTTCTCCTTCTATTCTGAGAGTAATAGGGTGGGCCCTGTCAGTCTTACCTCTTAAAAGAATGGACTGGGTCTTAGCAGCCGCCATCTTCATCTTTTTTCTCTCGCACCATCCTCCTACGAGGTTGGCACATCGTTCAGCTTCTTCTTTTAACCTGGCTCTGCTGTTTGAGGTCACTACAACGGCCAGATCATCAACATAGGCCGTGGCGGGGAACCGCTCCTGTTCTAGTACCCCCAGCAACTCATCGAAGACTAATTTCCACAGGGCTGGTCCAAGAACCGAGCCCTGCGGACAACCTCTTTCCATCGACTCTTGTACTTCAAAGAAGCTACCTTTTATCTTCAATGTTCGGTCCTGGAGGTAGCTCCTTAAAAGATCATATAAGTTGCTGGGAGCCTCATACTTCTGCAACTGCTGGAGTACGCTCGGCCACCAGACGCTATCAAAGGCGGAAGATATGTCGAACAGGATAAGCATGACATACTTCTCCGCCTTCTCTTCAACGTCACGGCGCACTCTCAGCAGGGCATCTGCGGTTCCCCTGCCTTTAGTGGATCCGTACTGCCGTGGATGGCTAGCCCTAGAGAAGACTGGTCGTAGACTCATCATCAACAGGGTCTCCAATAATTTACTCATGATAGGGAGGAGGCATATAGGCCTATAAGATTTGGCTAATTGCTTGTCCTTGCCTCCTCCCTTGTAGAGGAGTCTAACATCAGCAATTTTCCAACTCTTAGGAAAGTATCCCCTGTCCAGACAATCATTGAACAATGTCAACAGTCTCTGTTCAATATAGGGGATACTGTTCCTGAGGATTGCTGCGTCTATGGAGTCTAATCCAGGTGCACGACCAGCCTTTTGCCTATCCACAGCAGCACGTAGATCCCATATGTCCCACGGTGGGCACAAGTCCGTACCAGGTGGGCATACCGTAGTGCGTCTTATAAATATTTCCTCCTCATTATCCTGGGACGAATCATCTCTGGGGTAGGTCTCAGATAGGAACATCTTTGCAGTCTCTTCCAGAGTGGTTGCCTGGGAACATCCGCGCTTCAAAGCTGCAATCACTTGCTGTGGAGCAAACTTACCAAGGGCCACTCTGTAAGGTACACCCCAGGGATTCTTAGATGACTCCTGAACAATGAATTCGTCCCAAGACTTCCGCTTTCTTAACCGCACCTCGTTTCGGTATGCCCTGGCTTTAGACTTGTACTCATCACGAAGTGTAATGCGCCTCTCTTCGCAAGTACACTTCTGGTAGGAACGCCGTGCCTTGTAGAGTTCTCTCTTCATTGTGGTTAAGGCAGGCGTCCACCATGGGACAGGTCGAGCTCTCGCCTTCCGGTGCTGAAGGGATTCTTCAGCGGTATCGCGGATGACATCAGTGATCCTGGACACTCGGTAATCCAGATCATCTGTTTGCTCCGTTTCCGCCTCATCCCAGTCTTCGTCGACCAGTTTTCCCTCCAGCAATGACCGGAAGGCACTCCAATTTCCTTTTCGAGTAAGGTAACCTTTTTCTATCCCGAGGGAAACTTCTGTATTTTCCGCCAGCCTAAAGGCTATCGCTTGGTGGTCGGAACTCGTCTCAGATCGGAGGACCCAATCGATAATGCGGTTTGCCAGCACCGGTGATACCAATGTAACATCAATCCAGCTCTGCCCCCTAGCGCTAGAGAACGTCGGGGTAGCAGAGGGATCGTTCATAACCACTAATTGGTTTCGGGCAATAAATTCACCGAGCTTAGCGCCCCTTCTATTAGTTCGATTAGATCCCCAGACCGTGTTCCAGGAGTTGGTATCTGAGCATATGATCACGTTCCTGGTGCTAGCCGTGATCATCTCCATGGCGGATATGTCTTCGTCAATATCGCCCCCGTCCGGTAAATATGATGAGACCAGCGTAAAGGCAACATTGTTCCATCTGATATGACAAGCAACACAATCCGCCATGGTAAACTGCCTCAGATCCATCACATCGAGGTTCGGGTTGTTAACCACAATAGCAGCCCTGGGCCTCCTCTCTCCACTGCTCAAGGCTATAACCCTCGATGTGAGACCAAACCCCGTGACCTTGTTTCCCCAGCAGCTCGGTTCCTGGACTGCCATGATGTCGTAGCTTTGTGAGAGGGCGCGTAGCTCTTCCGCAACTAGACGCCGGCGGCCCATATTGAGCTGAAGGATGGAGATCTTACTCATAAGAAGTCCTCATCGCCATTTTTTGTGACCAATTTAAATGCACAGGACAATCACGACTGCCCGCCTTATGCTTAGTGTGCCTGGGATGGGCCTTTGCCCTCACACAGTTGATGCATGTCGGCCCTGCCTGAGCTAGTTTTTTGGGGCACTCCTTGAGAAAATGACCAGTACCTGCACACCAGATGCAGACCAGTGCATCTGATGGACATGTGGCCTTAGAGTGCCCGTAGTCCTGACACTTGGTACAACGGGGGGCGTCGAGGTTATCTTCAAAGGTCATTGACCACCATCCTCCATTCAAGCATGCCATGTCTAATAGATGGAATCGCAGGGTTGGGTGCACTTCCAGCACCCAGTTTTTAGTTATTCCATTCCTTACTGTAGAAGAAAAAACAGGCCGAAGTCCATCGTTTACGAGCGAAGCTGGGATCGATTTATCAATTAGCTTTACCCGTAAAAGCGTAATTAATGCCTCCGCAGTCCACGAATTGGGCACACCTTTAATTTCAAGCCTAGGTCGTTTCTTAAGTGCAAGCTTGGCCTCTAGTCCTACTTCTCGTAGACCCTGCCACCCAATAACTTTCGCCGCTTGGGAGCTATCTTCCATCCGAACTAAGACCGAGCCTCCCTTAGTAGCACGTACTATGGAGGCATTAACTCCTATTTCAGTAGGAGATGGCAGCCCACTGATGATTTCCACGGGACTTTTACCGGGCCCACTAATTGTGACGTAGGTGGGTTTAGAGTTAGATATCTCTGCCGGCTTCAATGGCAGAGATTTTACGATATCTGCCATTGTCCTTGGCTTACTTCGTAATTGGGCTGAATCTTCAGGAGAGGCATGACTGGTCGGCTCAATCGGGTTATTTAAATTACTGGCTACCTTGTTAGCTGCTTTGGTCCTCCTGCGGCTTCTTTTACTGACTACGACTTTGTAGGGTTCAGTAGCCGCTGAGGGTCCAGCCGGGCTTGCTTCTCTGATATCTGCTTGCGCTTCACTTGAAGGACCGGCTTTGGCTAAGATTTGTGGTTGTGGTTCCACTCGAGCTTCCGTAAGTCCCTCAATAATTTTAGGCACCGTTTTTTCTATTACAAGTCGAGCAATCATCTCATGAATACTAGGAGTCTTAAGTGACTCATGAACCGCTTTTTGGATGAGCTCAGAAATGTCTTCATTTGTGTGTGCCTTTTTACTTTTGTCATCTAGGGTTTCAATTATATCTATCAAGGTTAGAATTTTTCTATTTATATAATTTTGTACCTTGATATTCAACCCATTATCTGCCCGTTGAACATAAACTCTAAGATTCTCCTGGATTTGTAAGGCCGATTGTAGTAAACTTTTAGCTGCAGCCTCCTCCGAATTTGCCTCCAAATCAAGAGAACCCTTTCTTGCCCGTTTGGCATTTCGCTTGGAAACCTTTTGGGAACTCTCCTCTTCCATATCAATTACAATTGGGTCAACCATACTGTAAGAAAGTAGTAAACACTACAAAATGATTTCAATTTATAGTACACTACAGTTTAGAGGTTAACTAGCTACGTTTATTAAATGAAGGTTACCTTTCTATTATTGTCCAATGAAACTTGTATACAAGTTCTCTGTTATAAGTTTAAGCTCTCGTAGGAACGATTAAAGTCCAGAAAGTCTTCAACTACGAGAAGATGACGAACTCGTAGTTCCACTTAACCTTACTTAAAACTAAAAACTTATTTACAAAGGAAAACTAAAAAAAAAAGGAACAAGAAAACATAATGAACAATAAAATGGAAAACACTAGAACACGAACAATAACAAAATAAGTATATAAACACCAGTCACAAGTCTAAACACAATACTTTGGAGAACCAATACCTTATCAGCAATCACTATCACAATCGATCTCACTCATTTTCGATTTTAAAGATCGTTTCTATAGCTTATAACATTCAGACATTCTGACTTCATGTAAAAATTGTCATGAAAACACTCTTATGACCTACAAAACATGTCCTCAATGTATATACCGAGAAACATGAAACTGAAAATGAGCTGTTTAAGGGAACTGAATTATATTCTATTCCTAGTTAGAATTAGGTACTGATGAGTACCCACCGCACTAATGATTGACAAACCAATTTCATCAAATAATATAAGATCCACTTTTTTTCGCAAGCTGAGTGATAGTTTTGAATAAAAAAAGTTTAAAAAAATTACTGAAAGTGAGGTGATAATAAAAAGTTGGTTTATGCTTGGTGCTCATCAAGTATTTAATATTTGTAAAGAAATTTCATTTATTTTTGTTCAGAATAAATTGTATCGCAATTTTCACAAAGTCGCCGCTCAGCCATGTCTGTTAAAAAAACTGACGCCTGCCCTTGTGCCGGCTTTGCTGAAAAGGGAAGGAGCCCTAAGAGAGGATGGGCATTATTCAGGATGTGACTCGGAGGTGGGAGGGAAATCAGCAACAAGGTACACTTAGGGATGCCACGCAGCCCCCTCAGTTATAAAATTTAAAACATGTCCTATAAGAAGGGCAGGCGGCCTCCGATAGGAATGTAAAGGCCCCGCGTACACGCTTTCCCTCGTGTCCCCCCTCTTTTTTTTCTTTTTTTTATTCCCATACATCCCTCGACCTTTTCCGATATTCTGCGGGTCTGCAGAACCAATAACTATAAATAGAGTTATCCATTATTATTTAAATCGAAAAAGTGAAGTCTCTGAATATTCATTTTAAAAATTATGTCGTTACATTTTAAGGCAGCATGGAAGTAGTTTTAGAGGACTGTTTTTGATGAATGGGAGAGCGGGGCTAAAAGTTACTAGTGTAGCCCCAAAAATCGGTCTTGGTCTTGCAAAATGCAAAGACCAACACCGCCTCTCTGTTGCAAGACCGAGACCAAGACTGGTTATAAAAAAATCGATTTTCTGAATAAAAGTTGAGGCAAAATAGTTAATAATACTTGACAATTTCAGCTACTATATGTAAAGAATTGGTGCAATCAATATACTTTTGCATTTAACTCTTCTAATTTTTCATTCAGACTTAGTTAGGTTTCTCATATCTAAAACAATTACAATAATATCTAATAGTAACAATCTAATAGGTACCTGCAAGACTGTAACGAGAGTCTTGGGAAAGACCAAGACCTAGACAAGACCAGAGTTTGGAAGACCAAGACTATATATATACATAAAATAATCTGAAAGTACACTAAAAAATGTTAAGAAATTGTCAGTGAATATATTAAAACACCAAAGAAAAATCATATCTTTTGTTTTATAAGTTTGTTAAATTATCATATTTATTTACTTAATTTAATACCCTTAAGCCATTGTTGAGTAGTCTTTAAATAAATGAGTATCTATTCAAATGTTTATTTTTTTCATTGTCTATGTTCTCGATAAAGCTACTTCATCTTGGGATAATTTGTTTTCCTGTATACTAAGTTTTATATAAAAACATCCGTTAAAGGTAAAGACAAGTCTTTAAAATTTATAAAGAAGAATATGTGTAAAAATTATAAGCTAGCATAAACTTTATTAACATGTCATTTTTTAAATAATATTTGAGGTTGATTAAAAATCGGAACTTTTAGCTCCGCTCTCTCGTATTTAGCGTATAAATATTTGACGGATTTATTAAATACGAAACATGAAAAACAAAAAAATAAATTTACGATCTGAATATTCAAAAAATATTTCATAAATAATTTCGAAGTTGTAAGACAAAATCACTCCTAACAATGACAAGAAGGTGTGGTAACGATTGTTGGGTGTTGAATTCAAATCCAAGTGTTTCATGATTGATAAAACTTTTTTAGCTATTAAATTATTGCATTCATACCCCTGATAAAATAAGAAAAATTAAATAAATAATAAATTGGTTAGCTCAAATTTGTTCGTTACTTTACTACACGATGATATTTTTATAGGTCTATTTAGGATGTTTTTAACTTATATCTTTCTGCCGGATTTTATTTTGTTTATTTATTTAGTAATATAATAATCTTTCACTCGGACAATGATTATAGTGAGATATGAATACATTCACACCATATACCATATCATCATATAGAAAACATGAAATAAACAAAGCAAGATATCAACTAAATAATAATCAAAAATACTCAATATTTCGTTTTTCAACTTCGGTGCATAATATTTATTTTCCAATTTATTTATTTTAAGCCTCTTTACACAAATTTTCATTTTGGTCAACTTAATTACTACAACACATTCACTGAATAGAAATGAGACCGAAAACATGTGGGTGACACATGATAAGTTAAAGGTGGATATGACAAGAGTGATAGATTTTATTATTACATATGTGTATTTTATAGACACATGTAATTCGCATAAGAAGTGAAATGGAGAGACTTGAAAATGGCTCGACGAGCCGAAACGTCGAAATAAGATGTTGAGTCATTAAGCTTACCAAAATAAAAATTGATGTAATGTGGCTTAAAATAAATAAATTGGAAAATAATCAAAATGTATACACTATAAAAAGAAATAATTAAAGAAAAGTAAAATAAACATAAAAAACATAGTCATGCTTATATATAGTATTTACATTTTATTAATCATGGAAACAAAACACAAAATAAATAAAAATATGTTAAGGATCCAAATTTTGAAAATCGTTGACAACATATTTCAAAATTGTATGACAAAGGAACTACTAGAAATGTTAAGTAGGTACACACTTTGCCCTTTGAACTTGATAGCGCAGTGTTAATTAGTTCTGCTATTCCATTTAAGTGAAGCCATTCTGCTTATATCACTCTTAGCAATAGCAAGAAACTCTCGGTCCAAAGATGAAATAGAACATTGCTTAACTACAGTTCAAGAGAACTCTATTATGCACCCATAAGCCTTATGCTTTAAAGACAGAAATGGTTTATTTCTGACCTGGCAGAGCAAGATGGAGAAATTAAATGTCCTAATCATTTTGAATAGGAAGGTAACAACTTCTAGAAGTTGAATTCAAGCAAAAGTATTTCAGGACTGAAAATTATTTATTTATTTATAGGGCTCTTTAACCACCTGGGTCCTTATCGCCCTATATTACAATTGGATCAACTACTACTTAGACATACATAACAAAACTGCAGCTAACAAATACAATTTGAAGTTTAGAGAGTTAAAAATAGTTACAGCTGAATATTTTTGTACAATTTAATTAAAATTATAAAAATTGGAAGTTAAAGGTCAAAAGATAAGTTGACAAAGACAATTAAAATAAAGGTTAATGATTTTAAGAACAAAAGCTAAAAATACGTTCTTAAAAAATAAAAATTAATATTAAAAGAAGAGAAGTTAAATATTACAGATTAAATATTAAATATTACAAGAAAAGAAATTGACAGAACCCATTAAAATTAAATGTTGAAAAAAAATAAGTTAGAAAGACATTTACATAAAAGGTTAATCGTTTCAAGAATATAATCCAAAAATACGATTTTAAAATTGAAAATTAATATTAAAATTAGATAAGTTGAAACACACAATTTAAATATTAAAAATTACAAGAAGAAAAATGGAAAACCATTAAAAATGAAAATCTTAATATAAGAAGAAAAATTAGCAAGTATATTTACAATTTGAAGAAGAATCTGCAAACTTAAAAAAATTAACAGTCATATTTTTACAATTGCAAGATATGAATAAATTTTGTACAAACTTGTAGATGTGGTTACAATTTTGTGATTATATATTATGAAATATTTTGATTTCCTTGAGGAAAAATATTAAGTTTTTAATAGCTTTGGGGTCCTTTTGGAGTGATTCTTCAAGGTTATTTATGAAAAATTGTTGGTACCTAGCGATTGGAATGCATATCATTAAGAGTAGGAGAGTCTTCCCTCATTAATTTCAGGAATGAAATAATAGATTGAAGTGTAGTACTATAAGGTCTGCATCAATCAAATAACGGTTAGGAAAGGCTTCGTTCTTTGAATTGACAATAATAAGAAAAATGATGATACATATATTTTCGGGTATTAAATTTGTGCATTCATACCATATCTAACAGATAAAAGAAGATAAGTTGAATAACTAATGAAATATCTGGCTCATATTGACAAAGTACAGAGGCTTAGAATTTGAGTGCTAAATAAAATTAATGAATAAAATTTATTTCAATAGCTGTAATTGACGACGTCATTCTGTGGCTTACCTAAATCATGTGAGGACCAGAACAAATTTATTTTTGTGAATCATTCACAACAAAAATTAATAAATAAAAATACTTTTATACGTTTATAATGTTTAGTTGAATAATTAACCAACTGAATACGATATGAAGCATTCTCAAGAAAAAATGTTTATTCTTTAAATTTCTATGCTCAGGCTCGTTTTATGAATTGTTATTATTTAAATAAATCTTCAAATAGAAAATTAAAAAAAAAAAAGCTTTGGCCTGATTATATACCATGTCTGCAATTATTTTGGAAGGAAATTTGTATGCAATTAAAATAAAATACGAGGTTTCATCCTCTCGATACGCCATTACAGATATCATCAGTTTACACACTAACATGGTCACGTTTATTTTAATACTGTACATTCACCTTCAAATCAAATACAAACATTATTTTATCCATTTATAATGGCGTACTTTCTCTGTTAATTGATACAAATTTTCGCTTCTTAGTATTAACATGAATGCAGCCACAAGCCTTTATATACGACATTAAAAGCATCGAACATTTTTTCTCCTCCAAACAACGGAGATGATAAAACATAGTTTTCTCGTCAAAATTACTAAATAAACATAAAGTTAGAAAAGTGGCATAAGGTAATTATTTTCTAAGTCAAAAAGTCCAAACAACAAAGACATGAGACTCCAAACATACAGATGAGTAGTTAAGTCTCCAACATTTCGTTAATTCAGTTATCATAAGGGATGAAAAACCAAGATCACTTATATTCAGAAAGAAAAAAAATATATTGTTGCTATAGACGTCTCACGAACCCTTCCAATATTGAAGGAAAGAGCATAGGAAGGTTATATTAAACAGTTTTTAAATATTAATTCATGATATAAAATTTTACCTATTTTGATCAACCATGATTTAGAATAATCCATCCTGATTAAAAATCAACTAACGATCTATCCGACGATAGAAAACAAAATATCGTAAATTATTCTCTATACAGAAGAGTAATGATATCTTAAAAAATCTTATGAAAATAATAATAAATAAATAAAATATAATCATAATTACAAAATTTGATCGGGGGACATATCACTTAATAAAATGTGAAAACACACTGGATTATTAAATTCGACAGTTGATAGATGCATATACATATTAGGGTTTTGGAAAAAATTCTTATTTATTTATATTAATAATATCCATATGTTATGCTGTTATGTCTATTTAATTAAATATTGTTAATTATTTTAGTTTTCATTCATTTCCAGTACAGTTAATTACCCGTCTCATCTTGAAAGCATATATATCAATATGTATATCAACATATAAGCCTTACAAATTATAAATATTTTACATATTATATTGTAAAATATTTCCGACGAATCATTGAATGGACATTTTTGTTTGTTTCTTTTAATATAAAGGTTCTTGGATCTCTTGTAAACAAGGCCATTATGATCCGTTGAGAAGAATGATATTTCATAGTGCTCAGTATTTTATAGAATACGTGGCTGATAGTGAAAAATAATAATGGGACAGATTAGATAAGACATTGTTTTGGAGCATTAAGTACTGATATCACAGACAGGCGGAAAAATATATCTGGGTTTTTCGCTTCCATCTAGAAACTAATTCCTAAAAATAGAAATGAACTAGTAAGCTCAGATACAACGAATACATCGACAGCCACGCTGCAAAAGTCTATAAAACATTATATTATATTTTCGGTTATATTTTTTTTTTTACAGGCCTAAGACTTTATTTTAAGTAACTTTATTCTTATTGTATTTCGAATAAATAATCTTTTAAAGCCGTTTTATAACTTACAAGTATTTACTTCAAACTTAGAGATTTTTAAAAACAGTCATTAGTTAGGTAAAATAAATCAAATTTATTATAATAACATCCATAACTTTGTTAATAATCATCAAATCATGACAGAAACAAAGCCAGTTTCCAAAATGTAGGGAGACGATACTTCATATGAAAGTTTGTAAAATATTTGACTGGGAAGCATGTATTTGATTAAACGGATTAAATTGAATAATTCGTGAAAATTTCGTTATAAACGTACTCAACTTCGTATGGACATGGTTTGATTAACGAACTTTAATTCTTGATAAGTTCTGAGCTTTCTGAACTTCTTGCGATTTTGAAGATTCATTAGTTTGAAGAGATTCACCTACAACGAAACTAGAATTATTTTTTTTCCTCTCGGCTCAAGACACATTAAACAAAAAACTGTTCTTTTTGTTTTAATTAGATATGTATTATTATCTATTACAAGGTTAATATGTAATTTTTTTTTCGTTTTTATAATTTGTTTTTACTTGACATTAATTATATATAAAAATTATGTAAGCTCTTGATAATTCAAACTGCTTGATAATTCGAAGTCTCTATAATTCGATTTTTTCTTGTAGTCCCTTGGAAATATTGAAAGTTGACTGTATTCAAAATTAGAAAATTAAATTTCATTCAAATAACGTGAAATAAACACCGCTATATTGATAAGCTCAATTTATATAGGGTGATAATATTTCTATTAATCCAATAATTGCCTAAACAATGGGCATCAAGGATTATTGGATCATTGAGTGGCTATTAGCATATTAAGGAGTTATTACGGTGGACCGCTTAGCAATAATGGTTATACCATATATCTATTGCATATAAGCTATTCAGCAGTATAATTAATATTGCGTGGAGGATGTATCTATCATTATCTATCACCATCATCCGTTAAATTAATTGCCTAATCTGTTTTCGTCAACAATCAATCTGCTCATATTAAATTATTTATATATTATTAAATCACGTTCCGAATTAAAATTGAAAATAATCCTTATATTTGTTTTAATTTTAATATTTAGTAAAACTCATGAATAAATGAAACGATACTTCTAACAATCAACCTTTTACAGTTCATACCTTAATTAACCGTTATAATAAAAGAATAGTTAATTCACACCATATTTATAGAAAATAAAATTAAAGGAAAGAAAAATAATAATATTAAAACAAAAAATACATGAATAAATAAATAAGAAATACATTTAAAGATATGTAAAGAAACACCATAAATAAATGCTAAGATATGTATGTTGCATGTATTATAATTGAATCATTATTTTATTAACACTTTGATTGCGGAATGATTTCTTTAATATCATTATGGGTGGTTGATATTTTTAGAAAACAAATTTTCTAGCTACATTTATTGAATTATTAAATTCAAACTTATTTATTGAAAAAAAAAACACGATTTTAAATAAGACAATGAAGATGAACCGAATTCAAAGTATTTACATATGTACAATGCTAATAGAAGCCGCACCAATCCTTTATATATTACTGTTGCTATTTGGATATGTCACCGAATACATACATCCATATTCAAATATTCAATTTGATTCTATTAATTTACCCACCTATGGCATATTGCATTCGGTTGTTCTCTATCATATGGTCAATTCTGCCTCATGACTATTAAAATCATAAACTCATTTTATGGTACAACTGGTTCAGACCTCCACATCATTTGCCTGAATTTATTTCTTTTATTGTATAATTTCTCCTGAAAATATTGAGGACATAATAATGACGTCCTGTTTATCTCTATATGTAAAATAAACATCATTACAGCTCCTTATAAAAATAAAAGAATAGCGCTCCAGGCTTATTGGGCTTGTGTAAGTGAATTTTCACGTCACCCACCTCAGCTAAGAGGATGTTGATGACATACGTTCAAGTCTTCCACATCTTATTAGTTGGTTAGATATCTTCAAAGCAAAACCCCATTTTTACGACAATGAGAGTATAATATCAATTTTCTCTTGTGTTACAGTGGCTCCTCAGAGGCCGAAGATCGAACACAAGTCCAGCCAGGTGCTGCCGATGAACAACGTCACCGTGAGATCGGGTGAGAAGACAACAGTGAAATGTATCAGCCGCTACGGGAACCCTCCCGCCAAGCTCAAGTGGTTCTTAGGTAAATCTATATTTATATTGTAACATAGTTTGTTCTGAAGAAGCTTAGTGGCACCTCTGTATATCTTTAAACTGCCAGTAACTGACTATTTTAAAAGTAAAGGTTCTGAAATAGATATTAGATTAATTGATACTAGTAGGCCCGTGCGAAAAATTTGCACAGCATATTGTTTGCAAATGCCAAATTAATAAGAATAATAATAAAAATTGTACGATTTCGATGATTTTTTTTATTTGGAGAGAATTTAGTAATATTTTATATAATCATTTTATATAATCATGGGCAAAACATAGGGGAAAGTGCAATTTGTACAAAAGTACAATTTGTTTAGTTATTCGCAAATAAAGTTTGTTTTCTTTCATAACTTGTTGCCTGAATTTTCGGGGTGATTAGACTAGTTTGTGCGCCAAAAGGAGCAGAAAGCCTTCGAAATTGGTGGCTCAATCTTGGCATTTGGTGAAGAATTGACAATGATATGGCTTGCCGATCAAAAACACCAATGATAAATAATATAAACTCCTCCTCGGATAATTCCAGGAGAACTATCCGGGTCTTGCTGCACGCATCAAAATCTTCAAGGTCCAATTTGTCCCGTATCGATCTACAGACCTATCAACGTTCCAGTATTGAAGCCTAGCAAAATGTTTGTATCGACTGTACCCCATTCATGGTATTTGAGCATGACAGAAGATTACATTTGGTACAAAACCGATTTCAAGCCTTACTGTAATAATATATGTGGGGTTATGTTTTAAACAAAATAAAGGACACGATGACGAAAACATTTGATAGAGGAAAATATTCATTAAACCTTTGCGTTTTTATTGGCCACCTACTAACACAAGGAGGGTTATGCATTTAGCTCCACAATTTGTAGGAGTGTATAGGGATGGGAGATCGAAAGGCCAATATCGGTATTGTCATAGATAATAATACCGGTATACAACTATCGATATCATCAAAATATCGGACTTGAAATATCGATTGACGATATTTTGATCTATATTATAAACATTTTTAAATATTAATATCAATATAAATATTGATTCTCATCACACCAGCCGTATCAAAAAAGATGTTATTTTTTAAAAATAATTAATGGAATTTTTTATTTCTTATTCTTCCCTACCTCGCCTTTTAGGCTATACAGGATTTTCCCAGGCCGGAGGGTGTTGGAGAGAAATTTAAAATCCCCTCCGGCACCGGGACGCGAACTCGTTCTTTTTTTAATCCTATAACTTCAATTATTTGGTTGCAGGGAAACTCGCGGTGCTGTGCACACGCATTAGCCCATTCAGCCACCCAGCCCATAATTAATTGAAATCATAATTCTTCTACATTCCTTAGAATAATTAATTTTCTAGTTCTTGTCCATCTTCTACATCCTGTTTTTCCCCCGAAATTCCCATTCAGCCAATTATGCCTTCCATTCACCCATATATCGGATTCAGCGAAATGCTAATTTATTTGCATCCTGCATAGATTTCTTTAACGGTTCTTGGCCTTGATTTGAGAAAGTTCTAACTATCAAATTAAGAATGGTTCAACGCACGCTATTCAACTCTAAGGTTGGCCATCGATAATCAGTGTTATCGAAATATCGATATTTGTTTTTATTACGCACTACATTCGATATGAAACAGGCAAGATGAGTGTAATTGTTTTTCGAACGATCAGAATTATATGATTCCTTTTTTTTTCCTTATACGATAGTTTTAATTTATAATTAAAATATCGAAAGGACGAAATCGATAGTTGATAATATGGATGGTGAAATATTGACTATCGATGGCCATTCCTAGGAGTGCAACGATTTTTTGAACGAACGTCTAACCGATTTGAAAGATTGAAACCTCAGGAAAATCTGTGATTAATATTTGTTGGGAAACTGAAACTTAAATACAGAAACTGTCTTATGGATCGTATTTTTTTAGCTGCATAGACAGATTGGTAAAGTCGACCCCCATAAAAATTAAAACTTTCTTTAATGGCTTCTAATTTTTGCAACGGCTTCTTGAAAAAGCATTCCGTCTTATGCATCGGTGCATGTCAAAATACAAAAATCTTGTTGGATCTTTTAATATGAATAAATTAACAAGGTTTTTAAAAGTTTCACATTTTTTTCAGTTCTATAACTAGATATACAAGTATATTCCGCCTCTTAAGTTAAATGGGGTTATAGCAAGGTAGGTTCCAAGGGTCATTTACACTGAGGTGACAAGTTTGAATAAGTGACTTATTGGCAGATCATTTTAAGAATCATCCATTCATTTACTTTTTATTATTTTTTACATAATCTTTATTTTAAAAAATCGTCACTTCAACTCTTCTTGATCTTTTGTTTTAAATTCGTAAGACATCAACGTCGTAAAACTTATAATTACCATTAGTACGAGTGCTTATTCATTGAAATATATATGTGTGTATATATATATATATATATATATATATATATATATATATATATATATATATATTTGTTTTATTGTTTTTCAATCTTAACTGTTCAGACTCATCTCTTTAACTGAGTGTACATTTATTGGATGTCGAGGGAAATAAAAATAAAAATAAATTACACTTTTACTATTAAAAGGAAAGATTAAACACTGGTTCGTTCTTGTAGGAGCTAAGTCCAGTATATTGTCTCGGGTATTTGTGTAGAGTTTTTCAACCGTGTTCTTCATTATTTTCTGCTTCGTTCCCGGATGTCTCTCTTAGGTTTTTCAAATACTCAATTGTACACTGATTTAAAAAATTTCAATGATTTATCGTATCAATAAATATCAAAATTCACTGTAATAGTATTTTATATATAGTTGTTCTCATGTAATTTTTTTTCTTTCAATTTTCTCTAAGGTGAGACTGAGCTGCCGAGCAACCAGAGCAACAGCCCCGAGGTTGACAACAGGAGGACCTGGGTTGCTGTGTCCGTGCTGGAGATCCACGTTGACAAAGTCCAGCACCGGAAGCTACTCAAATGCGCGACCATCCACGAATCATATCCTACCAAGGTTCTGGCCATTGAGGTCCGGCTAGATGTCACCTGTAAGTAAATATTATCACTATGGCCAGTTTTAATAGTTGTTTATTCCACTATCGATCAAGTCTTATATTACCTTTATTAGAAAAATAAAGTTACATACAAGATGGCTAGTCTTAAATAAATAATTAAACTCTAAATATTAAGTTCCCGAACCATGTATTGTATGATAGAAACTATTTGAATCATAATAAATGAAGTGAGAAAATTCCTTACTTTGAACTACAAGTATTGTTACGGTTACTGATGAGAGAACTAGACCAACAAACAGAATTCGTGATTCTTTGTGCCAACCCTTGACTCTTTTATTTTTATTTTATTTTATTTTCAATTAAATTTGCCACTGTGTTGTAATTCATCGAGCAAATGTGGTGGCGTTTGTTCTATCTTCTTGTATTTTTGATACTTGCTTAACTTGTCAGCAGAAGATCTCTAGGCCACTGTCTTTTTAGTCGTCGTTGAACTTCACCTGGTAACAGGGAGGAAGATAGAGATTAAAAGAGTGAAATTAGAAGATTTAGAGTAGAAGAATCAAATGCTGTGTACTTGTTGTGTATGTAGGATTTTACTATTGGTATGTTCATGTCTGTGTGTATGCTGTAATTTGAAATAAACTAAGGAGCGCTGACGATTTTAGAAGTATTTTGGATTGTGTGGTTTGAATTTTGTTTTTGTGTGGTGTTTTGCGGAACCCTAAAGTTCTGTTTCGTATGTCCAAATAGGTCTTAGTATAGTAGTGTAGATTAGTTGCTTGTTTAGTAAGTTGAGTGGAGATCTATAGCCAAAAAGATGTGACAATTGTTTGTACCGTCTGGCCAGTTCTTGTTTTTTTTTAATTTAGTGTGAATGTTCCAGGTGAGTTTTTTGTCCAAGTATATTCCGAGATACCGTATGTGAATTTTTGAGCAAACTGGCTTATTTTCTATTGTCACAGCAGGACACGAGGTCTTCCTCAGGGAGAAGCTAAAATGAGTTGACTTGCTGGCATTGATTTTAATTCTCCATTTGTGAAACCATTTTGCAAGGTCGTAGAGGTGATTTTGAAGGGCTATTGAAGCGATAGTATTGTCTTGTCAGCTGTCAGTATCGTAATTTCTCTCTATAGAAAAGCTATAGAGAACGGTACTAGTGTGCTTAGGGATATCAGATGTGTAGAAAGAAAAGAGAAGAGGACTTAAAACACTACCTTGTGGTACTCCCACAAGTTTAGGAAAGAAGGGAGAAGTAGAGGAATCAATAGTAATACAGCAGAACCTGTCAAGAAAAAATATTGCAGTATCAGGAAGTAAGTTGATGGAAGGTGTGGTTTTATTTTTCACAGTAAACCTTTGAGCCAGACGCTAACAAACGCTTTCTCGATATCCAAGAATATTGCTGAGCAGAATTCTTTTTTCTCGAAGGAGACTAACATAGCGTCTGCTATACGATGACACTGTTGTACAGTGGAATGGTACGAACGAAAGCCAAATCGAAGATTCGGAATAACTTTCCCAACTTTCTAGGATTGGCTCTATCCTTAGAAGAAATAATTTCTCAAATATTTTCCCCATTGTAGGTTAGAGTGCAATCAGACGATAATAAGAAGAGGTACTGGTAGGTCTAGAAGGCTTTGGTATCATTTTTATTGTAGAAAGTCTCCTTAGGAGAGGGAAGTAAGTTGGACGTAAGATAGCATTATAGATGTGAGTGAGAGAGATAATGGCTTTTCGGGTTAGGTGGCGAAAGATCAAGGGAGTGATACGATCATAGGCAGGAGCTTTTTTATTTGAAAGTCTGACTCTTAATCATGAATTTGTCACCGCGGAAATAAAAATTAACAGACTAAAATGGAATCATACCCGCAATGTTTGAAACTACGCCCCAACGTACTCGGCCATCAAGTCCTCTTATTTTTTACTAAACTTGTCTTTTATTGATTAAATGTCAAACGTTAGTATTTGAAAATGATAACCATTTTCATTTATGGAAGAAAGTTAAGCTAGTATATGTTCTTAAAACTCATCTATTTTCATTATCTGTCAAAAATACAATCTCACATATATATCATGTATTGCTGATTCGATGGATTTGACTGCATTCGATGAGTTAAGGACCATAATAATTAGAACCACGGAAACTCACGTCGTTATTGTGGAGGAATTTTATTGGTTGGTGAAATAAGACAATTTGCTGTGCTTCAAGGAATTTGTTTATGGTTGGAGGGCAGCGGTGGGTCTTCTTTTTACATTGGAATACGAAGAAGAAGAGGACCAGCGCCGGGAAGATCGCCGGATTCCGAAACCTCTGGATAATCCACAGTACTTTGCAGTGGAAAATATGCACAGCGCAATCTGTTAAACTTACTGAAGTGGGTTTTGCGCAGTTTTTCATAAGATTCTCTCTCTGCAGCTCGTATTGCAGACAACGCAAGAGAGGATAGAAAATATAATATCAAATATTTTTGTTTGCTTTTTCCTATGAAATGCAATTGATGTTTTTTCCATTTTTTTTTCTCAGACTAATAGAGTGATATTAATCTCATGAAGGTAAGTAGTTATTTATGTAGAGGATTCCCACTGGAGGGCTTCTTTTCAGAAGGTATCCTGGCAACCGCCTATGGTTTATATTCAATAGGAAGGGGTATTATTTGCAGTTTGCCCCGCGAAGAGCGGGTGGTACCACTGAATAAATGACAGGCGCCTGCCCTGTGGGAAATCAGGGCTGCCAATTATTAGTTAGCTAAGGCAGACCTAATCATCTCCCTTCTCCCTTGCCCCCCCCTCCTTTCTCACCTGCATAAACACCTGCCAACTTTTCATTTCCTACCTCCACCTCCCTCCCCCCGCTCCAATTTCTTGCTCCTCTTGCACTGATTCATTTTGCCCTATTCCTCCGCCCGCTTTCTCTTTTTAATTTAAAGGAAAAAAAACATAACAACATTGTTTTCATTTCCTTTCCGAGGCCGCCTTCTTATACCCTATATTCTGCTGAAGGTGAATTGCCTTTTATTATTTTATATCTCAATTTACAAATGGTATCCTTTATTAGAATGAAATTTGATTTAGAGTTGTTCCTTCTACAAAACAAATCTGCATCGTTTCTCAACATCATCTTTGCCTAAATAAAAATATGAATAAAGAATACCTTTTTTTATTTTTATCTTTTTTTTATTTTTCCACACAAGAGCAATATAGAAACAACAACGACAGGCATATTAAAATTTTGTTTTGGGAACCTTATTCATAAAGTTGTATATTGTATGGCTTGTTCTTTAATAAATTAAAACCTTTTAGTCAACAAGGAATCTTATTATTTACATTCAGAGTCCAACCTATCCATTACTGGGCCCCTGTCCATAACTGAGAAGTTCACCCTACTATTATGTAATATATAAGTATTTTTTCAATAATTAAGAATAATTGGGCATCGAAAAAAAAAGAAATTTATACTATTTTGTTGATCATAAATAAACTAAGTAGCAATGGTGCATTAGTACATTTTTATGTACTTTTTCATTACCACATTTTTGGGAATAAAATGGTTGCCAGAGCAGCAAAAGAAGCTCTTACTATTCCAGGACGTGATAAAGCCTCCTTAGCTGTGTCCGAACTGGCCCGACCCCAGAAAGAGGCCATACACCAGGATTGATAGACATTATAGGACAATAGCCCTCCAAATAAAAGGTGATAAAAAAGGAAGTGAAGGCATGGAGCAGTCCCATTCGTACTAACAGCAGGGAGAAACTTGTCCTTACGGGACTAAGGATAGGTCATGCCAGGCTTACTTACCTTCACTTAATTACGAAAGAAAACCCGCCTATTTGTCGGAAGTGTGGAGAGAGGAACAGTGGTCCTTATCTTCGAGAGTTGTGCCTTTTAATTCAGAGAATGAAACATAAGGGGAATACCAATACCGTATCATACACCGGATGATTTGTGAAATGATGAAAAAATCTTATGTATAATCACATTTTTTCTCACTAAAGAAAGAATATTCAAAAATCTCTGAACCTCTCGAACACTTTTTTTCCGTTTACCATTTTTTTTCTCTTTTAGCTAACGTGCTAACTTTAAATAACTAAACTTTAATAACCCTAAACAACTTTAACTTTAACTTGAAGTTTACATGTTTTTAATTGCATCCAATTCTTATCATTCACAAGCAAAAGTTGTGATAATAAATATGTAATTATAATTAACGGCGTTGATGACCAACAGGTTTTACGCCTTAACTGTAGAAAAACCAACCAACCAGCTACTGTAATTTTGTTACTGTTCTTCTTCACTCTTATCACTTTTCTAATATTATTGCATATTTTTTTTCAATTTTTAGCTCTGACTACGACATGACAACATGTTTGGGTCGAAACGATAAAGAAAATCCTGACGATTTTTTCATCCTTATAATTTCTACAGTTAACTACTTACTCATCTATAAAAATTAAAATTAATTAGGATATAGAGAATTGACATCCTAGAAGGGATGTTGAGACAGGTAAAGTGTTCATGAATTCCTACGAACAAGCTGAGCGTACGAAGGAAGATACGACGAAGGACCAGAGGGAGTAAGTTGACACGCGTAGTGTTTTTTCCGGCATAAACTCGCAGATTAATGGCGGATCTTGCTTTTGCCTCTAAAATCTCGACTTTACTCAATCTCACCTACTCGTAAACTCTGCAACAGGTGAGGTAGCTCTAACCTTGGGACCAATCTATATTTATGACTGTACCCTCCACCGCTAGCTCCCCCGCTAAGTACCCATTTAACTCAGATTACATCCCCTCAGCCGGATCTAGTACCTAATCGATGTGAGTGGATATTAGTATTAATTGTATATTATAGGGTAATTATTTGGAGTTCTATTCTTTATTATTTCAGGGTGCACTATTATAAATTTTAATTCAGAATACTTAATGAGACGTTTCGCTCAGAAATTGTAATTTCAATTTTAGCATTTATATAACAATAAAATTCGTAATATAGTTATTAAAACACACAACTTACCTTACTTTAAATAAATAAAATTAATGGTAC